TCACACGGTTCTATAAGGAAACCGAGGCAGGACATAAGGCTTCACTGAACACTTGTGAAGCGGCGGGGAGGGAGGGGGCAAGGGCCAACTGGGTGATAACAAAGGCTATTGTTAACACCTTGCCCCCAGTGGCACATGAAATGCCACTAACCCTGAGGGACTGAGAGACATTCAAACCTGAGGTTTGGGGCATGGCGCCCTTCCTGTGACTTCAGTGCTAATGATGTCTAAGACACCTCTTAGCTCCTCCTTCTGTCTTTCTGCACAGGCTTCACCCTCCTTTGCCCGGACTATTTTAGTAGCCTGTGAACAGGTCTCTGCACCCTTATCCCCAGTCTGCACCGTCGTGGTGCTCCCCTCCTACGCATACATCTCCGCTTGGCTCCCCCGTGCCGCTGACCCCTGGCATGGATCCTCTCCCGTCTCCCATCACCATTGCTACACCTGTCCCACCATCCTCCCAGCTCAGTGACACCTGGTTCTCCAGGCCTTTGCACATGGCATTCCCTGCTACCACTTCTCTGCTTGGTCCATTCCTACTCATCTTTCCATCTGATCTCGGGGGAGAGACGTTTTCTCTGAGGAGCCTGCCTGGTTTGCCCTGATCCACACTGGGCTGGCGCAACCTGCTTTCCTGTCTGTCTGCCCTGTGAGATCCCCGGGGCCATGGCTGTGACTCGTTCACCTTGTTCTTGGTGTCTGGCACCTGGGGGTGGGGTGGGGCTCTGTGTTTGGTGAATGAGTGAATGAATTCTGGCCAAGGCCTCGAAGACACCCAGCCCAAAGAGCTGCGTGGGGTGGTGTGGCCCAAATGGTGTGTTTGGACACCAGAGAGCCCACATTGCTACCAGCCGTCAGGGTGGGCACAAAGGAGGGTGGTCCAGGCCGGCTCCAGGGCTGCCGCACTCCCTTCCCATGATACGTCCTCCGGGCTGGGCCCAGGGCAGGCCCTTTCTGTGGGTGAATATAAATATATAAAACAAACAGCGCACTCTTAGCTGCAAAACTAAAAATAGGAAGCGCGGGATCCGGCTTCCCAGGCTTCCCCAGCCGCTGGACCACACAGGTGTGGCTGCGGATGTCGGGGCGATGCGGCCCCTCACCCCTCCCAGCTCCGGAGCCCTCATGGGGAGGAATCAGCAGCATTCTGGATTTCTGCCAGGAACAGTTCATTCTTTCACTCTGGCCTCCCTCCTGCCCCCATCCCATTTGACAGCTCATTTCATTTACGACCCCAAAATGAACTGACCCACTGAGGTGTATTCTCTACTCACGTGGTCAGGCTGGGGTGTTTGGGGCAGCTAAGAGCTGCCCTCTGGGCCATGCTGGGGGGCCGCATTTATGGGGGGTGCAGTCTGGGGCAAGGGAGGGGCCGGGGCTGAGGAGGGAGGCAGGGCTGGGTCTGCAGCCAGCCCTGCCCTCCCCGACAAACAGCACTGGCCCCGCCCCGCACCATCTCCTCAAGCCCTCACCAGGCCCTCACATGGGAACGTGTCATCTCTGGCCTATGGTCTCACTGCTGGGACACCCACTTCTCAGCATAAAAGCCAGATGCATCCCTATGGCCACAGCCCGATAGTGGCAGGGCTGCTCCTAGGGGCCGGCAAGGAGGGTCCATCTGGGCCACTTCACCCCATAGGAGGCCACTTCTGGGAGCTCCCAGGACACCCAGCCGGCTCTCTGGGTCCATCACTGGGTCCTTCAAGCTGTGGGGGCTGGAGAAACTGGAGGGACTCAAAGTCCAGCCCAAATCCACAGGACTCCTAGAGCCTCCAAAGCGGAATTCTGGAGTCCAGGGCTCTCGGACTGTGGAACCAAACGGCTTCCTCAGCCTGGACTGGCTGCTGCATGACCTAAGCTCCTGCTGGTGGCTCAGGGGACACGTGGGACTGGGCCCAGGGTCCAGGAGGCCAGGGTTGTAGGACTATGAAAGTCAACCCTTCCTTCAAGCCAGGTACACCCCTGTCCCAAAGCAGACGATCATGGGGCATGGGATCCTACTCCACACCTGGCATACAGCCGGTGCTCATTTAGTGTATGGCCAAAAAGGGAGACTCAGAGCGGGACAGGCACCTCCCACCACCACGCAGCTCAGGAAGAGAAAACCTTCCCCACATCAAGACCTTTCGCAGGCCCTTCGGGAATGCATCACCTGAGGTTGGGAAGTTCTTCTTAATACCTAACCTCAATTCTTGCTGTAGCTAAGGCAGCCTCTCCTCACCCCTGTCCAAAAGGGATGATGGCCACTCTGTCCACCTGCTGCCCAGCGATGCCGCCCCCTGCCGCCACCTGCAGGCTGCTGTGGCTACTGCAGCGCTTCCTCCCGCAGCCCTGGGACCTCAGGCAGGCCTGAGACTTCTTTGGACCTTGAGTTTCCCCTTGGCAAGCTGGGTGTGCTGGTTCGTGCCTGCTAGGGTGCAGGTGATGGAGATTTGAGTCAGGGACTCTGGAGGTCACAGCTCCTCTCCCATCTGCTGTGGCACCAAAGTGTGCCTGGTGAGGGGTGGCTACCATCCCCTACAAAGTGACCCCAAATAAACATAAATAGAAACGGTCTTGGCCATGTAGATGCCGTTTCAGGACCAACCCTGGCAGAGGCTGCCCAGAGCAGACCCACAGAGAAGTTCTACAGCTACTGCCGAGGTCCTGTCCAGAGATGGACCTGCTGTCTCTTGGGTAAAAGAGGATGCCGGGCTAGGGAAATGGAAGCTTCTTGTTGGGTGCTGAGTTTCAAGCAGATCAACCAAACTGAACAGGGCAAAGCTTTGGGAGTGATTTCTGAAGTCAGTGGGCATCACTCAAAAATAAGGTCTGTTTCATGAACATTTCCCTTCACAAATCCCAACCAGCCACGCTCTGGGCTGTGTGCTGGTACAAATCTCAAGTGGACCAGGCCTCCTTGCTGGTAAGGTGGGAGGGGGACTGTCAAGTCAGGCCACCACACCATCACACCCACGCTACCATTGTCGGGCTGTGGTCCCAGTTCAGCCATGGACCACCCCAGGGAGACATAGACCCTGATGACACTCCCTCTTTGTACCTCAGTTGTCTAATCTGCAAAATGGGGGCACTGAAATGGCTGCTTGCTCCCAATCCCCACTGTTGCTAGCTTGCCACAGATCTTGAAACACGAGCCTCAGAGGGGGGCTCTCACCAAGGCAGCTGGACTCTCCCTCTACCTCTGCCCCCTCCCCAAATCTGAATCTGGGGAACAGGCAGGAATTCCTCCCAACATGGCTGGGAAGAGAATCACAGCCTGCTCATGATTGGTGGCACTTGGAAGACCTATTTGATGCTCTCCTGGGGTTCCAGTCATACATGAGCAGGCCTCACCGGCTGTCCTGCAGCCAGGGTGGTCTCTGTGGCCATTCCTGAAGAAGCTGGAAGCAAGGAGATGAAGGCGCTGGGTGTCTCTGTTCCTGTTCCTCCTGGGCAACAGCAGGAGGTGTCTATCCTCTCCCCAGCCCCACCCCATCTCCATGCATAGCCCTAGAAGCCTGGCACTGGACTCCTTCCACACATCTCAGAGTTATATCATTGTAACAAATCAGTCAAAATTCCATTTTACAGTTAAATAGTACAGAAGACAGTTTACTGTACAAGCAAGTTGTGCATTAAAAACAAACACCAAGCAAATGATAGTGCAAAGCAGTTTCCACCCTGCTCCATCCTCTCGCCAGCTCTGGGATGGTTTTACATGGAATATGAGTGCAGCAGGTGTCATACCTCAGCATGACAATGTCACAAAAGATTGGTACCCACTACTGACAGACTCACAGTAACACTGTATCAAAACATCTTCCTTTCCTCCTGCTTCCTATATCAGTGTGTTTGCCTAGTACAACTTTAAAGCAGCCTTGTAAATAAGGACCTTCTTTTACCAGCCCAGGCTGTCTGTACCCACTTTGGGCCTTACAGACTCAGTACAGCTGCCATCACTTTTTGTCAGGGGATGGGGGATGGGGTAGGAAGAGCAATTTATTTCCCATCCCTGCCTCTCCGGGGCTTGGGGATCAGGAAGGGGTAGTAATCTGGGATGCGACTACAAAGTGCTGGGCACTGGGAACCCAAAGGTGCCTCCCATGATGACCTGGGACCAGCTACAACCAGAAAATAGGAGGGAAGAAACTACAAGGACAATGGATTCATCGCTGCTTCCTGAGAAGGTATGGAAAGGCCCCTTGGGTGCAGGGAGTCAGCAGCTGTATTGAAGAGATGGAGACTGTTTTTCCAGTGAGGACAGGCCAAGAGGAAACCGCAGCAGGAGGGAATGGAATAGGATCACCAGAAGGACTGCCTGACCTGTTGGTGTCTCTGGTGTATGGTTCTGGCCGTTGTGACAAGTTGGGTGGGGACAGTGCTCTCACAGAGACGACCGCTGAAGAGCATTCTGTGGGGCAGATTTCTGCATCCACAGAGGCCGAGGCAGAAAGTTAAAATACCACATGCTGCTAGTCTTTGAGTTCCCTTACACCTTTTCTAAGCCTTTCTAGGGCCAGAGAACTCTGATGTGAGAATCCACGTGGCCTGGCCCTTGGGCAAGCGCCCACTGTCCCGTTTTGCAAAATTCAGGGTCAAGACTTCACCTCGGAACGCAGTGCAGCTGAGCTGTGGCTCGAGAGCCCTTTACGGTGCTTCTGTTCTGCCACGCACAGCCAGTGCTCCCCACCTCTCACATCCTGCCCACCCCCGCACAGCCTCCCGGACAGATGTCCTAGAGCCACAGAGGAGAGCGCCCAGCGTCTCATCAGCATTTCCGTCGTCCTCCCAGGGATGCCTGTGGTGCAGGCTGGTGGGACGCTGCCTGGTGGGGAGTGTAGCCCCTTGAGAAAGTATTGAGACCCTGATAACCCCACACCCTCAGGAGGTAGCTGGGGTTCCGCGGGGGGCGGAGAGGGGGCAAGGGTGGTACTCATAATCACGGAGCTATACCTGTAGGAGACCTTGTGTTTGAAAATGTTAGATTAAGCTTCTTTTTCTAAAATCAGTTTTAAAAACTGTTTTTTTGCTCAGGACTGTTTGCTTTCAGAGCACAAAACAGGTTAAAGACAGACGGGTGTGTGTCAGGAGTTGCAAGATTTGGCTGGATCCTCCCACGAGGCTTGGGGGATGAGGCGCAGCTTGGCTGGACCTAGGTGGGACAGGGACATTGACGTCTGACCCAAAGTGACCCCTCACCTCAATGCCTTCTGCTAGGACCTATCTGGCCCCCCGTTTTCTCCACAAATGGAGATTATGAGACCACCTAGGGGAGAGGGGACCTCCTACCCACCCAGCCCCGGCAAGAGAACAAAGGGTGGATGCATTGGGCTGGTAAAGTGCATGGAGGAGTCGGTCTGTAGGTGCTTTCCTGGGTTTAGGGACCTGATGCCATAGACTCATCTTCTCCGGGGCCTGGGACCCATGCGGCTGGGGGAAAGCCAACAGTTAGGAATGGAGGGAAGCTGGGCTGGGGGGACTGGATTGGATGTGTTCTCAAATCATCTCTGCCAGCAGCGTGCTGGGTCCTGCCCCGTCTGTACGAGGGGAACCCCGCTCGAGGGCGGCGCGGGCGGGGAACACTTTCCAGTTCTGACTCAAATCTGTGTAAATGCAGAGAGGGCTGGACCCAGGGGTGTAGGGGCTCCGACGAAGGTGCGGGGTGGGGAGGTTTCCCAGGGCCTGAGGCTTATCCTGTGGGCCAACGCTGCCTCTCTCTGGAAGAGAGACGGCCTCTGTCCCAGGAGACACGGGCCCCATGGGGCACTGGGCATAGCTGGAGACAGTGAGGTCCTTCTGGGGAGCTGGCAGGAGGCTGATTCCCCACAGAAGTGTGGGATGAGACGGCCAGGATCTGGGCGAGGTGGTGTCCTGGGCGGGGGTGGGGGCGGTTCCCTACACCTCTGTACACGGATGTGGTTGGACAGATGCAGCCAGAGCCACCCACCAGCTGGGACCACCCTGGGACCGAGACCACCCTGGAGCGCAGGTCCCATTCCTGCCCGGAGCCTCGGAGCCGGAGCTGGCCCATCATGGGTCTTGAAGGTTGTGAGGGTCCCCGCCTCCAGCGGGAGGAGTCCACCGGGGCGGTCAGTAGGGCCGCCACACGGCCTCATCCATGCGGCCCGGCGTGCTCAGGGCCGTGGGTGAGTTGCTGTGGCTGCCGTCGGCCTCCACGCCATCGCTCTGGCCGCCCAGGCTGGGGTTCATGAGGTTGCCGGCGGCGACAGAGGCAGCGCTGCTGGTGCAAGAGGCCAGCATGCGGGTGGGTGAGCGGTCGCCCCCACTGCTGCTGCCGGCCACCATGGAGAACTGATAGGAGCCAGAGGACGTCCCGTAGTAGAGGTGGTAGGGAGACGGGTTGGTCTGGAAGGGCCCGCTCTGGTTCTGCGGGGCCCCCGGGTAGGGTGGCGGGAGGTAGGTATGGTGGAAGCGGCTGGTGGCCGGCATGCCCGCCACGCTGAGGCTGCTGATGCTCGTGCCCGAGGGCGTGGCGCTGTAGGGGAAGGCAGCTGACATGGCCCCGGGGTAGTGCATCCTGGGGTCTGGGAAGCGGCTCTCCGTGAGGGCTGGCAGCGTCGGGAAGGAGCGGTCAAACTGGCGGGGGTCAGAGAATGGGTTCAGTTCCGAGGTGCCTGGAGGACAGCGAGGAAGAGGTCAGCTGCAGCTCAAGACAACCCCAGGAGGCCTTCCTGAAGAATGCCCTTGGGTTCTGGTTCCCAAGGCCCATCTGGGGGACCCCTAGTTCTAGACCTGACTCTCCTCTTCCTGCCCTAGGCTGCCCAGGGACTCCCCTGCCAGGACTCCGAACACAGACCTGCCGGGGAGCTGGTGGAAGCGTGCCCTGGGCCAAGAGGGGCCACGGGAGCACCCCCACCGGCGGCAGCAGCAGCAGAAGACAGGTGGGCTCTTGTCTTCTCTTTCAATCCTCCTGCCCAGCCTCGCAGAGGACAGGCCTAGGACGAGGCGGTGGGGCTGAGGGCAGGGTCAGCTCAGGCCTCCCAGCAGCCCTGCCCAGGCGAGCTCCTCTCCCCACCGGCCTGTGTTAACAGCTGGCAAGGCTGTGGATGTGTAAAGGGCTCCGATGACCGTGTGAGACTGGGAGTTGGAACCCGCTTTTGAAGACAAGAAAATGGAGGCAGAGAGAGCAAGACTGAGTCTCTGTGGCAGAGAAGGGACTGGTTCTCATCACAAGGCCTCTGCTGGGGACACACGTGCCTCTCCTGCCCAGGTACAGCACACGGCGGTTCTGTGCGCTCACACCTGGATTGTGGGCACTGAGGTCAGAGCAGCTCTGGCCTCCACCTCACCCTGGGCCTGTGTCTCTGGAGCTGACTCGTGGCCACACAGTCACTGGATGCCACCCTCACCTGCCTCCGCAGCAAAGTGAGACAGCAGTCAGACAAACTTGGGGACCCAGACCCCGACCTGGTCACAGTGTCCAGCCCAGACCCTGCCCCTGCTCCCCCGGGAATGTGGCTTCTCAATGGGCTCCAAGGCAAGGGTGTTCCATCCTCTGTCCCCCACTTTTGTCATCACAGACCCCCAAAACCTCAGCATTCAAAAGGGCTCGGGGATTGAGTCTAACACCCTTGGTGGGAAAACTGTGGCTCAGACACGGTGAGGCACTTGCCTAAGGGTCACACAGCACATGGACCTGGCACACAATCTTAGGGTCTCTGGTCCTGATCCCCAGCACATGCATGAGTGGGAGCTGTCCGTCTTTGAGGCAGCACAGGATCAAAGCTTACTGTGTGGCTTCTGGAGCCAGACAGTTATCCTGGTTTGGACACTTACTAGCTTTGTGTCCTTGGGCCTCTCTGTGCATCAGTTACCCCATATAAAACACGAGACGATAACAGTTCATTGGGATTCAGTTAATACACATCAAGTACTTAGAATGGCACTGGGCACAGAGTAGTGGTCCATGAGGCTTTGCAAGGCCACTGTGGTTGTGGTGCTTCTTACTCTGGGTACCCAGGAGAACTGGCTTATTCAGGGCCCTGCCAAGTTGAGGCCCTGGTGTGGGGCCTCCCTTGTACTCTGGCAGCTGGGGGAGGTGGATGAGCCCCTAGCAGTGGTCCAGAGGTGCAGTCTGTCCAGCCAGCAACCCCTCTGTGTCACCCACCAAAGGATAAGGGCCGGTGCTAGCCGGGGTGGGCTCTGCCTGCCATGCCGAGGCTTGGCTGAGGACGGAGAGTTATAAGCCTGAGATGCTGTGTGACTTAGGCTGGGACTTGGAACTTCTCGGGGCTTTGGGGTTTTCCCGTCAGCTGGCGTTATGTTTCCCTCAGCAGCGGACTCCGGCCCTGGGCGTGGATCGGAACGGAGCGAGGCTCCTGGCTTAAGGTAAGACGATGTGGGGACAGCAGTCTGGGTGGCGGGGGCCTTCTGGGATATCTGGGATGCTCCCTAGTAGGTCCCTGCCCCTTGACGCCGAGAGCCTCCGAGGCGCCTGGCTGCCAGTTTTCATCTGGGGAGCCCCTCGGTGGGAGAGGTCCCGTTGCAGGTGCCGGGCACGTCAGCACAGCTAAGACGGGCGGGGTGGAAGTGGGTGCTGGCCGCCTGATGGGAACCCCATTCTCAAGATGAAGGAAACGAACGGAGACCCCAGGATGCAACAGCAGGACTGTGCCCCTCAGAGGTCATGCGGGCTGCAGGGCGCTGGGCTGGGCCTCCCTGGACCTGCCACCGTCCCCTCCAGCCTCTTTCCTGAGGGGCACCACTTCTCCTGCGGGGTGGTGGGGGAAGTACCTGCCCTCAGCACTCCCTCAGAAGCCCCCAGCAGCTTCCTCGGAGCTCCTGTACCCCCACCCCGCAGCCTCGCAGCCCCAGGAAACCCGAGCTGCCCGGGGCACTGTCGAGCGGCCAATCCCAACAGTGGAAGGAAATGTTTATTTTCTTCTCCAGATTGCCCCGGCTGCTGCGTGGTGGCTGAATGAGCCCTTTCAGCTGTGAGAAGCCCCCATTGTGGGCGGCTGCGGCTGGGGGCTGGGGCTGGGGTATGGGAGGGGCCGGGGTCTCTGCACTGCTTGCCAGTGACCAAGGTTGGGGGGTCAAAGCGGTTAACAGGCACCGAGGGAAGTGATAGTGGGGTGTTCCGAGGGGGATCCCCAGGAGGGAGTCTGAGGGCAGAGGGAGGGGGGCCTGTGAGAGTCTTCCCAAGCCTGGGTCTGCCAGCAACCCCTCTTTGTTAGGGACCTCCTTCTCCCCACTTCACAGATGAGAAAACTGAGGCTGAGTTTAAGTGACTTGTCTGAGATCACACAGCCAATGCCTGGCAGAACCTGAATTCCTAGCCTGGTCCAGCTGACTGCAGAGTTCATGTTCCTGCCTGTCCTGGTCATCCAAGGCCCTTTCTCTCACCCAAAGGGGATAGGCCTGAGGACGGAGAGGTCTGGCTGCCTGTGGCCCAGTGCTGTGGGGGGCTAGCAAGGGACGGGGCCAGGCCTCAGGAAGAAGCAGGCAGAGCAGCAGAAGTCAGCCACTGCCCCACACAGGCTGGGGCTCCTTTCCTCCCAACCCAGGGTGGAAGCAGCAGCTGTGCCTGCTGTGGCGCCAGGCACTGATTCCCAAGCTGTGCCCACCCAGTGGTGGATGGGCAGATGTGGGCTCTCCTTCCACGGGGGCTGGTGACAGGAAGCCACTGTTCACCCCACCTCCTGGATTCTGGCTCCCCCGCTGGGCCCTGATCCCCTGGTCTGGCTCTGTCCATGGCGGGGAAAGGTTGGCTCTCAGGCTACCACACCTCGACAGATGCTGGCCTGTGGGCAGCAGGAGCAGGGGCAGCTATGGGGCAGGGGTGGGCGTGAGCACAGCGTACAGGGCTCCTTCCGATGCCTCTTAAGAACAGACCTCCAACTCATGGGCTCAAGAACTGAGAGTCTCAAATGCACTAGTTCCTGGGCTCAGAGAGGCTGGGCCTAGGGCTTCTGCCCACCTTGGTGTCTCAGCTGGACCAAGGCCGGAAGTCCTGAGCTCCGGCCAGAAGGGGAGGGGTCCTCTCTTCACACTGAGGGCCTGCATCAAGCCCCCGGCTGCTGCACTATGCTTGGAACAATGTCAGTAGAGGGACCCAGTCGGCCCCCACCTCAGTGTGGCACTGGAGAAGGGGGTGGGGCAGGCAGACCGGTTGGCAGCCCTTTTCCAGGCCCCCTTGTCTGTCCCCTCAGAGGTACAGAAAGTTTTTGGGAACAGGTACTGTGGAGACTCTGGACCTGGTCACAGATGGGCTGTGTGACCCGAGGGTGGCTCTGAACCTCTTAGGCTTCTCAATTCATTCATCTGCCACGGGGTTCTAACCAGGCCCGGGGGAACTGAGAAAGAATGGGCACAGCCAGTGATGGCAGCCAGCCGCCTGCCTCCGTCCACCAGGCCACCAAGCACCCTTGGCACCCCACCTAGCCCGAGGGCTGGTTGTGCACGCAGCCTCCCGTGTCCCCAGCTCACTGACTGAGAGAACAGAGGAGAGATGCAGCCAGCAGCCATTTAACGAGTGCCTACTATACGCGCCAGGCACCTCGGTAACTCCAGAAGACCCGCCTGAGGAGTGGCTGCAGCTGTGCTTGCTGTATCCGTCTAGGCAGTGGAGAGGGAGACCCCGGCTGTGTCTTCCCTTCCACCTCAGCTCCTCCTGTTTGGGAGGAAGCGCTGGGCAGGGCGGGAGACCTTTCCCAGGAATGCTATGTGCCTCTCTAGGTTGGAATGTCACTTAACAGTGTGCAAAGTTTGTGTGAGTGCAGTAATGTCGTTTGAATGCCATCCCAGCCCTGGGCAGAGGCATCCGCCACCAATCCACTTTCGGATGAAAAATCGGAGGCTGTAGGACAGGGGTGGGGAAACTGTACATGGCAGCGGCGAGTCTGTCACAGCTCCTTGGACAAGTCATGCCCCAATTTTAATAGGGGCACTATGGGGTTAACCCCATTTCCCCAGGCACAGTGAACTCCTGGTATGCAGATTCCTGGGGCCAGGCACCGGGCATGTGCCAGTAACGTCAGTAAGTGTTTGCTGAGTGAATGAATGACGGCCAACACACAGCAAGCCCAGAGGAACTGTCTGCAGGTGCCAATAAGCACCAGCAGCTCCTCCACAAAACAAGGGGGTGCAGTGACTGATCCTCAGACAGGCTTTTGGTCTGGGGCAGATTGGACCACATCCAGGACCTCCACCCCCACCTCGCCCCGCTGCAGCCCTCCCTCTGTGCCGTACCTTGGATTGGGGTCTGCGGCTGGCTGCTGAAGTGGCTTGTGGTGCTGAGTGAGCCTCGGGGGCTGGGCGTGCTCGGTGTCACCCGCATGCGCAGCCGTTCCAGTTCCCCAAAGCGTTCAGGGAACGGCTTGGTCTGGTCCTCCAGCTTCTGCCGGTGCCCTGCAGAGCACAGGGAGCCCATCAGCCGTTGCTTCCCGAGTCTCAGTGGAGACAGAAATGCCTCACTCTGCTGGGAAGTTCTTCCTGAGGTCTGACCTTAGCTCTCTGCTGGGAGAACCCTGAGGTCACCACCAGCCTCTTTCCAGAGGTTTTCAAACGCCTTTCTGAACAGAGAATGGTTGTTATGTCCTGCCCCGCATATCTAAACCTCTACAACACCCGGTGACCTAAACCTCTACAATACACTGTGATCTAAACCTCTACAACACCCGGTGACCTAAACCTCAACAACACACTGTGATCTAACCCTCTACAACACCGGGTGACCTAAACCTCAACAACACACGGTGATCTAAACCTCTACAACACACTGTGATCTAAACCTCTACAACACACTGTGATCTAAACCTCTACAACACCCGGTGATCTAACTAAACCTCAACAACACACGGTGATCTAAACCTCTACAACACACTGTGATCTAAACCTCTACAACACGCAGTGATCTAAACCTCTACAACACCCGGTGACCTAAACCTCTATACAACACGCAGTGATCTAAACTTCTACAACACGCGGTGATCTAACCTCTACAACACGCGGTGATCTAACCTCTACAACACGCAGTGACCTAAACCTCTACAACACGCAGTGACCTAAACCTCTACAACACACTGTGATCTAAACCTCTACAACACGCTGTGATCTAAACCTCTACAACACGCAGTGATCTAAACCTCTACAACACCCGGTGATCTAAACCTCTACCCTCAACAACACGCAGTGATCTAAACCTCTACAACACACTGTGATCTAAACCTCTACAACACCCGGTGACCTAAACCTCAACAACACACTGTGATCTAACCCTCTACAACACCCAGTGATCTAAACCTCTACAACACACGGTGATCTAAACCTCTACAACACCCGGTGATCTAAACCTCTACAACACGCAGTGATCTAAACCTCGTGATCTAAACCTCTACAACACGCAGTGATCTAAACCTCTACAACAAATGGTAATCTAAACCTCTATAACATGCGGTGATCTAAACCTCTACAACACACTGTTTAGCAGAGGAGGAAACTGAGGGCCAGGTACAGTGGCTCACGCCTATAATTCCAGCACTTCAGGAGATTGAGGTGGGAGGATCAGTTGAACCCAGGAGTTCGAGATCAGCCTGGGCAACTATTGAGACCCCTGTCTGTATAAAAATTTGAAAAAAAAAAAACAACTTAGCCAGGTGGGGTGGCACAAGCCTGTAGCCCCAGCTACTGGGAAGACTGAGGCAGGAGGATCACTTGAGCCCAGGAGGTGGAGGCTGCAGTGAGCTGATTGTACCACTGCATTCCAGTCTGGGCAACAGAACGAGGGCCCTAGATCTAAAAAAGGAAACCGAGGCAACAGACATGAGACAGTGGCTCATGCCCCCAAGGGAGGCAGGGAGAGAACCCAGGAGCACTGCCCACCTCTGCCTCCCAGCATCCCAGCCTGCCTTGCACACTGTGTCCCATGTCTACAAGAACAGTGGGAGGTGGCCCCAGGATGGGACTGCAGGCTTTTCCAGCCCTAAGTCACTCAGGGATCCCCAGAACATGCCTTCTCTCTGGGCTTCCGGCAGAAAAAAACTCCACCAGGATGCTGGCCAGAGGTGTAGGGGGCTTGCGTGAGGGACTAGACGGCCATCTGTGCCTGAAAGCTGGGGTCAGGGACGAGATGTCACACCTGGAGAAAACTGCCAGCATTTCCCACTCCCTATCTGCCAGAGCCCACACAGGAAGAATCCCAGTCTCACATCCGAGGGCTCAGAGGTGCTGGGAGGGTCAAGGTGGCCAGGCCCCCACCCTCCTGCAGCCTGCTGAGGCCGAGGGACACTTCTGGAGTGACGTCAAGCTTGCAGGGACCTCCCCTGCCACACACACTTTTTTAATTACTAATTTTACATTTCACAAGCAACATACGAATATTTACAAAAATAAAAGCATTACAGATAAGGCTGTTTCCACCCCTCTAAGCTCCTCTCCAGAGTCCCCACCGTGACCAGTTTCTTTCCAGACATTTTTCATCTTCCAGGAATGGAAAACGCAGAGTAAGTTTCTCATGGAACTCCCTTGAACGGTCTCAGCCTGGGCATGTCATTCTGTAACTTGCTTTTTTAGTAGCACACCTTGGAGCTCAAACTCAGTATCTGCAAAATGATGAGGATGACACTGCTATCCCTCCTTCCTGCTGGCCACTGGAGGTACAGTTCACTCCGCTGTCCCCTCCACTCACACTTCAGTTCTTCCCATGCTTCCCCTTTAGTTCCCTTACACACCATGCTCCCCGGAACGTCCCTGTTCACACCCTCCAAGTGGCTGCGGCTTCTCCAGGGCTGACCTGAGGAAAGGACCGCTCCCTTGGAGGACTGTGCACTCCAGGGTTCGGCTGATCAACCCTAACATGGTCACAACCATTCTGCCTCACATGACTTGGAGGGAGGCTGCCAGGCAGGCAGGGTGGCCAGGCCCTCTTTTACAAGTAAGAGAACTGCAACTGCAGAGAAGCGAGGAAGCTTGTCGGAGGTCACACGTGGAGCAGAGGGTGGGATTTCCTGGACCTGGGACCCTTTAGAAAAGAAGATGTGGGCCGGGCATGGTGGCTACATCTGTAATCCCAGCACTTTGGGAAGCCGAGGCGGGCGGATCACCTGAGTGAGGTCAGGAGTTTGAAACTAGCCTGGCCAACATGGTGAAACCCCATCTCTACTAAAAAAAAGTACAAAAATTAGCTGGGCATGGTGGTGGGCACCTGTGATCCCGGCTACTCCGGAGGCTGAGGCAGGAGAATCGCTTGAACTCGGGAGGCGGAGGTTGCAGTGAGCCAAGATTGCACCACTGCACTCCAGCCTGGGTGACGGAGCAAGATTCCATCTCAAAAAAAAAAAAAAGATGTGGAAGGGGCTGAGGGGGAAGAGAAGGTTTGCCTAAGGCCTTGGGTCTAGAGTGATGTGTGCATTTTCTAGATTGGCAGAGGGAGAAGAGGCAAGATGTAGATGGGAGGTAAAACAGAACTCACTGCGCTTCCTGGGGCCTGGACATGTGATTCCTGGGGACTCGAAAAGTGGGAAAAGACTGTCAACCACTGTAGGGCATGAGGGGACAGAGCCTGAGGCCTCGCGTGGGCCTGATTTCTGATTTTCAGAATGGGAATGCAATGGATTCTGGTACTTGTAGGCCCCTAAGCTCCCTACACATCCGTGTTGGAAGCTTGAACGGGCATCTGGGAGCCTCAGAAAGAAAGCAGGGGGCCTGGGAGCCACAGGGGCTCAGCCAGTCACCAAGAACAGGGAGCCCCACCTTCTCCTCCAATGAGGCCCCAGACCAGGAATCCATGGGCCACTTGGTGGCAGGAATAAGACCATTTGGTCTCTGGCCAGGCCCCCCACTGCTGCCTCCCGGGACCCTTGGCAACAAAGGGGAAAACATGGCCTGGGGGCGAGTTCAGCCGGCGGCGGCTGCAAACTCAGATGCCCTTGGGGATGGGGCAAGTGGGATGGGTGGGGCCTGGGGCGGATGGGGAAGGGGTGCCTTTTGGAAGGCACCTGACTGCTACCCTGAGGAGGGCAGGCCCAGTACAGCCAGAGCTTCCAATTCCAGACCCAGTCTTCAGCCCTAACAGGGCTTGGAGGAAATGTTGTCCTTGCTCCTGAGGCCACTGGAAATGGCAGGGAGATGTGGATGAGCTGGGGGACAAGTGAGCAGAAGAATCTTAACAGGCATGAAGCCCGCCATGTGGATGTGGGGACCACAGACTGATCCGACGACAGCCTGAGTGCAAAGGATCTGGGTGTCTTAGTCAGCCACAAGCTTGAAGGGAGCCAACAGGGCTGGTGCAAAACCTCAGGCCTTGTCACTTTCGTCACAGGAGAATAAAGTCCCCTGTTTCTGAGTCACACAGTGTACACAGAGTGTTTACAGTTACTCCCGCGGCCTGGCGGAAGAGGGCGGGGTTCACAGCCAGCCTGGGTTCGAGGACGGGTCCTGCCACTTGTAGTCTGGTGGTCTCACTCAAGTCACACTCCCTTCCCCCACCCCAAGCTGCGGTGTCCCCATCACACTGTCTTTGTGGGTTGAGGTGCTGGCCTAAGGTGTGGACACTTTCTAGCCACGTGGGTCACCACCATTATGACCATCGCTTTTATCTCTGCTCATGCCCAAAGGAAGCAGAACTATCATCCCCATGCTGGAGACTGGGGTGCGGAGGCCAGGATGCCAAAGTCATGTGAGGGACACAGAGCATGAGCAGCAAAGCAGGATTCATACCCGGGTCCCCTGACTCCAAGCCCAGGGCTCTTTTCCTGACACTTTCCCTTTTGTTCCCATTGTTCAGAAGGGGCCACTGAGGCTTCACCATGAGACCGACGCTGAGCGGCTGTTCCAGGACCCAGGCTGCGGGTCAGGTAATCTGACCCCAGAACCCATGCTCCCGCCATATGCTCCCTTGCCCTCCACAGGGCAGACTTCCCGGAGGAGGGGAGTCCAGCAGCACTTCGGAAATTGCTTCCTTGTTACTGTGGAACGCTGGAGCCACTGCCAGGGAGGGGCAGAGGGGAGCCAAGGCGGCCCCACGTGGCCAGGGCGCCAGAGAGTCTCAGAGCCACGGGGCTGGGGCCCTCACACTGGGAAGAGGACAGAAGTTCCTGTGCCTGAGGAAAGAAGATGGCCTTCAGAAAAAGCCTCTTTCATTCAGTTACCCAGAGCGAGAGCTGCGTGGGGAGCTCTGGCCCTAACCCACTCCGTCACTTGGGGCCCAGTCCTGGTACGCCTCAGTTTCCCATCTGTACAGTCTGCCCACTGAGGCCTCTTCCTTTTGAAAGTGGCTGATTTAAGGTAGCAAAGATCAGTCGGTGGTCAGAGGGGCTCCAAAAAGAAAAGAAGGCCAGGCTGCTGGCCCCAGGGCCCACCCACTACCACTTCTTCCTGCTGCTGCTGTTCCTAGTATTTCTCGAAGAGTC